TTGTTGGGCAAAAGTCAGCACTACTGTTTCACAGATACAGGTTGTTTTTACTGAAATTTATCTAGATTCTTCCTGACTCATGGGCATGTCGATTATTTGTCCTAACTGTGGTGATTGAGACCGCAGTGGATCTGGCCATCGAGGCCGACTTGCTTGTCCGATTGCAGGATGACTCGGGGAAACTGGCGGTGTATCTCAGCGTATTCGCACTTGCCCAGTACGTGTTTGAAAATCTTTCAACGTCTTAATTTGACGTGATTTTACAATTCAGCATCTTCCAACTTGTCATGGCGGTCGATGCTGTGTATGCACGCAATACCCTGCAATTTTTGTCTCTCATGTGAGCACATATCTTGCTTCTTGCCTACAATAGCATATTTTTGACACTTGATTTACAGCATATTTAACCTTCTTTTCCTGTTATATGCCGTTATTCAAATCAGCGAAATCAAGAACTCGTCCACCACGTCTACCGGGATTCTGCATGTACCAGTGAATGTTCTCACTGACATCATACCTGCCGTCATATCCACTGCGGAGATAGCGTACATCGGTCTTGGCTGGAAAATCTATAACGAGTTCGGCTGGAAGGTGTACAAGTTTCTGGGTGCCGACCGCCGCATCAAGAAAATGTATGCCACACATCAGATCTTCGAATGTCTTGTCAAGTTCGACATCTTCTTTTGGGTCGGCTTCTCCGTGCAGTTCATATGGTTGGTCCTCCAGAAGAACGATGTGGAGTACTACGTCACCTGGGCTGCTCTCCCGTTATCAATTCTCCTCCTCATCGAAGGCCACCTTGCCGCACGTCATGAGAATAAGTGGATGATGGGAACGTTTATGTTTGGAAGTATGGGCGCCCTAGGTCTATTTCACATACAAAGTGAGCTCTTTTTAGCAACCTTGCTGCGCAGAGCTCGTTTGCTCATGACGTTGTAGCTTTTCCGGGTCCTTCAATACAGGGATACGCAATATGCCTTGTACTGGAAATCACTCTCCACGTTTTGTAAGTCTTTGATATATAATGTTTTCCGGCAGCTCACGATAATGGTAGCTGCAATCGCAATCGTCCTTCTCGTCATCACGATCATCTTTTCCGTCTTGGTGATGCGCAATTTCGGTCGGGGACTAAAGGCATCGAGTAAGTGTTTTTTGTTCATGATTTCTTTGACTGATGAGCTGTGTGACAGTTGCAAGAAGTAAAACACACACGCAGGGAAGTGGCTCTCAACACTTCAACCGAGGACCAATGAGCACGAACCCAAACCGGATGAGTATCGAATAAAAGCGCGCGTACGTCACAGCTACGGACTTGCTTGTATTCTATAGCGCTATTTGCCACTCTTTCGATTTGACACACCAACTTCACCTTGCCCCAACCAAGATCACATTTGCATTGACATATCCATCACATATTCTTCGCATTACCATGTTTCGCGTTCTTTAGTTTCTTGATTTATAGGTATAAGTATTTACGGATATATTTTCGCGCATGCCAGTAGCATGCATCGCTCTCCAATCTGGATCTGGAGACTTTGTGTTTCTTCTGGTATTCGTTTTTTACCCTCCCTCGGAGTTGCCTGTGCTTTGTGGATATTTTCATGTATCGATGATATTATAATAGATAGATACGGATTTATATACGGCAGACTCAGCTGAACGAACTTGGGTACTTGCTACCGTACTGGAGCGTGTGACGTGGAACTTCGGTGGTGTACAGTGTACTGTAACTTCACCGCTTTTGTCAATTGGATCCGCATACACATCGCCGCCTTCGAAAGCCTCGGCTGTGTTGAGTCGAAGGGCTTTTAATAATATTGTTGTTCCTTTTCGAATTCACCCGTTGGTCGGGAAGCGTGCAGCTACAGCTGGTCTTATACCCACCACTATATGTCCCAAAGGTGAGGCACTCTCGGCAGTTACTTTGCACCGTTCATTAATTAATGCTTCAGATACAGAGCAACAAATGCAGCGCTACGGGACCGTTCAGCTCTCCTGGGTGTGACACCTCCAGCTTCGGGACGCTCGTCACCGTATAGCAGCCCGAACCCAGAACCTTCTGGTCACCGCTACGTGGATGACCTGGAAGGTCAGAATGACGAGGCGCTGGAAGGCCTGGCAGCCAAGGTGAAGCTGCTCAAGGATGTAAGTGGTGCTTCCCGTCTCGCCCACCCATCAAACTCATCATTTTTATACAAAGATCACCGTTGGCATTGGAAACGAGGTCCGAGAATCGACTGTGCAACTCAGTCAGATGGTACGTGCATACTGTCGCTCTACTCATCAACAGCTCCCTACTTATCATGTGCTCCGCAGAATGACGCATTCGCGGAGACCTCGGGCATCCTAGCTGGCACGTTTCGTCGGATGAACAACATGGCACAGCGGCAGGGTTGTCGATGGCTATGGTACATTCTATTTCTCGTACTTGTGTTCTGGTTCTTCATCATCGTATGGTGGTTTCGGCGATGACAATCACCCACTACGGACGTTCATCGATATGTTTAGATCAATTGCTTGCTCAGTGCGCCTTTCTCGTCATTCGAGTCACGCCATTTCCGTATCCACAGTAGATGCTAACACAAAGTATCATAAAACCATGTAAAAAGAGCAAGGCGTGGAAGCCCATTGTCATGGGCCGTCCAGGAACTTGGCATGGCCAATTTCCCAAATCATCCGCCGCCGCAAGTAGGCCATGTCCCGCTGCGAGAAATGGAATTCTTCCTCCCCTCTGGACAAGGATTCCAAGAACTGGCACGTGAACACGCCACAGTCATAACCATTCTCCTGTTGTGGTGTGTCTTCAGGATTGTGATTCTGCCACCCAGTGAAGTCAAAAGGTTTCTTTCGCTTGTTTCTATGTTCCGAGTCCAGATAACTCCGCAGGGCCTTGACAGACAACATAAGGACCTTCCTGGACACGCCAGGCAAGTTAACGTACCTTGAAGACTTGATGTCGGTCAAGATTCATGCTATCATACGACTCTATCCGTTTTCGACGGAAGTTAATGGCAGCCGCGGTCCAGTGAGAATTGTTGTGGTTGATAGGAATAAGGATGACGTCTTTCGAAAAGATATCAATCTGTATGCGGAATGAGGCATCAGCTTCAATTTCACTGGGCAGTAACAGACCTTCTTCGTCCATTTCGCTAGCCGCCCCTGCTCATAGCCCTCATTTTTCAGCTTTGGCCAAAAGAAGGTGCTAAAATGATGGACATCCAGCATCTTTCTCTTTGCGGTGGGGTCGCGGTTGGACTCCGAACGTGTCAAGATCATCGCACCATAAAAGTTCATAATTTCGTCGTTCAACCATTGACTGGGCAGTAACCGAGATAGATCTCGATCATTGACAGATTCTCGAGCAACCTTGGAAATGACTCCTTTCTTGCACAGGAGCGCGTTAACTTGTGTGTCAGCGTCAGGAGAAAGAACCTTGGGTAGCTTTGGCCGTAGACGCTTCTCAATGGCCTCATCTCTGTGGCGCGCAGATAAACGGAGACGATCATGTGAAGGAGAGAACGGCTTGGGTGGCGGACTATAGAAAATCGATTCAGCGAGGAAAAAAACAAGAGATACGCTCATACAGCTCAAATGACTTCTTGGCCTTTCTAAGTGCACGTTCCAGGAAGTCGGGATCAACATCCTGGCACAATTTAGTAAAGCAGCAAACGAAGTATACACACGCTCACATCTGAGAACGAGCGCCTACGGGAGCGTTCAGGTGAGGACTGCTTTGCGCGCAGATCTGTCAGTGATGGTGAAGCTATGCACAACGTCGTAAGTGTTCTAAACTGAAATAATAAGAATCACGCACGCGAAAGTGCATGTCGTTCAAGAATTTCAAGTCGAGCTTGGTAATTAATCAAAGCTGAGATTCATGCAAATTAGATGTAATCGTGGACAAGACAGAATGGACGCACATTTAAAAGAGTCAAAATCTGATGTATATCCTAATCAGAGTGAGAGATAGAGCATCAAAAAAGTACTAGCATGCTGACCAGTAGAACGTTTGTAATGGAACAAATCTTGCACCAGCTCTTCGCGGTCCTTTTTCCTATCTTCTTGTACTTTGGCTCTGTGCTACAACATCGGTCGATAGTAAGATATAGGAACCGGTTAGTATTGCTTATACACTTACAACACGAGCGTATATATGATCTCGACTCAGCCGAGGGCGAATACCGCCTACCACTCCTCGTCCGTGCGCGAAACTTCCTATGAAGTCATACGACTGGCTGTGTTGAATGTGTTCCTTCGATCTCGAGGGAACCGGCGTGACTGAGGTGTGCCCGGTGAGGGTTGAGGGAGGTGAGTTTCCGTTTCCATTGAATGCATTCGAGGATTCTGAACGCGATGGTAAAGAAGATGAAAGCCGCGAGCGGCCTGCCACTGGCTGTGAGTCTATGGGTTTATGGAACTCTTCTGGTATAGGCAGACGAGGTGGCAAAGCTAAATGGGTAGCTTGCGAGGGTAAAGAGCCGGGTTGATTAGGGTTTTCCGGCTGTTGGGACACGGTTTGAGATCTACCTGGATTTTGAGAGGCTTTGAACACGTTGTCAGTGTACGATCGTGTCTCGCAATAGAATTAATCTCACAGTTCATGAGGGACAGGTATCCGAGGCGGACCGTTTCGTAGCCAAGTGTGAGTGTGTCAGCTCCGAGTTGACACCAACGATGCCAAATGCCCTGGTTCTCTTCTGTGCGTTGGTATTTAGCAGAACGCATTGGGAGTAGAGAATCTGAGGCCTGTCTCTTCCGACTGTTCATCCGAGAAAATGCCAAGGATGGAAGGGAGATATTTTAAAAGACTTGTGGCACGGAGCCAGCTCGAGGCTGAGCTCAATGAATGGCCGCGAGGACAGACTCGTCAAAGCAACGTGTTCTTGACGGTGGTTAAGTGCAATCACGATTAAGACTAAGTTGTAAAGTCGGGTCAAGTACTAGCGTCAATACACAACAAGACGCTTGATTATATAATCAAATTCTAATTTTAATCACGGGCTCGCTTGGCTCAGTTGGTTAGAGCGCAGGTCTCATACATGGCCGTATGACGAGTGCATACTCGGTAATCCTGAGGTCGCAAGTTCGAACCTTGCAGCGAGCAAGAACTGTCTTTTTAATATCTGCCATTTGGACCCTGGCACATCCGAGTCTTACCTCGAGGAAAACGCGTGACGTGGACATGCACATAGTAGTACGTGCAGATTCGGAAAAATATTAGGCTCGCCCAGCTCTAGTAATACTAATAGGCTATAATTTAGACTCTAAACATAAGGTTATTTCTCCGTAAGTTACAATCTTCCTATAGCTACTGATATTTTTTCTAACAATGATTTCTTCACGGTACCCAGCCAAGACAACTCATCAGCGCTCTTGTTAGTGTCGGACAGTGAAGATCGTGCGGTGCGGTGGGACCTGATGGAACACTGGAACAGCGACGGCAGAGCTTTGTACGCCGTACGGGTCAAATAATTGGCAATTGCTGCGGTCAGCCTATCTGGTTGAGCCTTTCGGACAATTGTTTCCGGATGCCAAGATGCGTGATCCGGATAGAAAATAGTTCCGCACAAGTTGACAAAGATGAGTGTATTTCACCGAACAATCATTTACGTTGAAGGTTTGGCAAAAATAGGTCGATTCAAACATACCCGCCAAAGCCTTTCAAATCAAGGACCGGAACCTGGCGGAGGCACTTCAAAATACCATGAGAACGTACACCCCCACTTGGATCTGGACACGGAGCCTTATCCAATCATCCGAGCCATCGCATCAGGGGTGTTATCCTGACTATCACAATCGCGTCGTGCTGCTAAGTGTGGAGAGGGCGGTTTGTTATAAGTCACTGATAATGCCCCTCGGTAGCTGGACGTGTCTTTACGATACCATTGATGCATGTCAGGTGACTCACCTGGAACGTTTCGTACTAGGAGGCGTGCGCTGATTATATCGTCTTAGAGCAGGAAGGACGACGAGATGACGGGAGTCAAGTCCATGGCAGTCAGTTTGAGCAAAGACGTCCTGCATTGAGTTTATTTGACTTGGCCTTTATTGAATGCCTTTCGTGGGCTGGGTACTTGAATGGCCAGCCTGCGCCTGCCATTTGTGATGAGTGTCATTACGCCATTCATCCTGTCTCTGGCACACGTGGTCCTTTGACCAACATGATATCAAAGACAGCTGGAGGACATTCATGGTGCGTCTGACTGCCATAGCCGTATGTGCTAAATCTCATATTGAGTTATGCACTGCCATGGCGTGGCTGGTCTACGCTGGAAATATTGCTTGTGGGCCACTACTTCAATTTCACGTCCCTCGCCACTTGATCATACGTACGAAGGCTCTGTTATCATATACTTATCAGTACCGACACAGCAAAAACGACCTCTTATTGTAATGAATGTATGAAGCGTGAACGCGTGAACAGTCTAGTACTATTGCTTCCGATGGGGTACTGGTCTCGTAATCCCTTGCCATTGAAAATTGATGTTTCTTACCATTTTCAAGGCCTAACATACCGGTGAGACAGTCCTGAACCCTGCTAAATACTCGTTTGTACTGAACTTACATTGTTTCCGTCTCTTTTTCTCCAGCCCTCTCTGGGTTCCGCCTCTGCGTCGCTACCTCCTCAATCTCGGAAACCTGGGTGTTTCAAGTTGGCCCAACAACCACCAAAATGCAAAATGAGATAATCGAACTCAGTGATTCGGACACTGATACTAATAGTAAAAATGTTCGCCCAGTGAAGAAGGAGTCCACAGAAATATCACATCGCAATTCCGAGGTAACTAACCTCAAGGCAAAGCTGACAGCCAAAAGCAAGCTCGTCGCGGAACAGGGCAAGGAGTTAAATAAACTCCGCAAGGAAAACAAGCAGTTCAAGAACGAACGAAACATTCAGACTGCTGAGATCACAGGCCTTCAAGACGAGTTGAAGAATATCTTGAGGCAGCTCGATGACGAAACGGTTCGTGTATAACAAGCCGCTCGCTCAAATACTAAATAATTACATCATTTCTTGAATTCAAAAGGTCAAAAACCTCAATTTCAATATGATTAAGCTGAATAGCTTGAAGTCGGACGCTGTACGCGAGCATTTTTTCACTTTGGTTCTGATACTGACTTTTGCGGGAAGCCAAATGGGACTGCCGTCGAAGCTAAGCCTACGTGGCATCAGGACATTGACCAAGACACGTCCGACAGCTTCGCATCCAACCGTCCTATACCCGAAGACGCAGCGTCCTCGCAGCCCCAAACGTCCGACACTTCTGGATCTAGTTCTACTACCATCAAACCAGAGCCGGAAGGCGTGAAAATTGCCGTTGTTATCAAGTCCGAACTTGAACACGAACCTGATCTGAACGCCCATGTTACCTTTGTCAAGAGCGAGGATGGGAAGTTCGACATCTGGAATCTTGAGCACCTTCGTCTCGGACCTCCAGTCATCGTAGAAAAGAGGTTTCACACTGGATTCAGGCGTTCTGTAATCAGCAACGTGAGCTCGAAATTCCCGGGGCCTCTAATAAATTAGGCTAATACCTGATATTACTTCAGGCTCTTGGCGGAAATTGGCAAAATACATTTGTCAACTGGCAAGGTCCCACTAGTAAATCGAATAGGTACCCCTAGTGCGTACCCCAAGTCTACACAACCTACCGTTACTCAAGCGAGCATCACAGCATGGCCCTCAAACGATCCTGGAATCCACATCTCCCGCTCGTTCCGGGAGAGCATGGTGTCGTATTTAGTGGGGTGAGGCGTTTCGAAGATGGCACGCTCATTACTGGATCAGTCGACGTTGTCGTATCCGGCAAACCAAATGAATGGATATACTTTGGTTCGTACGAGACTTCTCGGTCAGGTGAGATCACACCTCACCAACTTCACTTGCTCCCTCCTCTGGTCGTGCGAACTTGGGTGGAGGGAACTCTGAAGTCCAAGTGGGGACAGCATTGGGTCGAAGACACGAATGCCGAGCTCGTAGACAAGGGGGGTGAAATTCGTCTCATCGAACTTACGACACATGGTCTTCGGGAGGCACTCAATGATGGAAGGCTCGTTATCGGCTTCACCGTCATGAAATGCGTTGGATTTCGTGCGGAATGGTTCGATCAGTTCTTGCATTACCAAGCACATCCGAAGCTGCCGGCAACACAGAAAAGGAAGAAAGGGAGCTCGGGAGCCAAAAAACCCTCTGCAAAAAGGGTGAAAGGGAGTACGCGCCGGAAAGAGATGTCATCTGAAAGTGACAATGACGAGGAATTACAAGTCACACAGCCCAGCAGTGACGAAGACGAGTTTTCTGACGCAGAGGATGGGATGAAATCACGCTCGGGTTCAGCCTCGCCGGGCGCGAGGAAGAGTTCTCGCATATCCGCAAAATCAATTGGAGCAGCAACTCCAAGTTCTAGTCATCGGACCGGGTCGTCTCTAACTTGAGAAGTCTGCAACTACTCGAGGTCGATGAACACTTTACTCTTGGCAAACTCTCGGAATTGATACATTCACTACATAGCCGAACAATTACCGTAAAATACCAATACAATACTTATGAATATGCCACACTCGAGGAGTTATTGCAGCCAACCAGGCCCACATTAGAGAAAAGATGGAGTGAAAGTAACTGTGATGGAGTGCGAAGAGGGTGGTTAGTGTGTGCGAATCCTCCCGAGCGAGGAAACCTAGGGCGTCAACAAAAGTCTGGCTGGTCACCACGCCATAATTATGCTCCCTTCTGTCATAGCGGACGAGTGATAACACCGAGTCCCTGGATGTGTCCACAGTCAGAGGTGCAGCTTTAAGTACAGAGCAGTCATCAACAATACCCCTCATGGAACAACAACTTCATCCAACCTTGACGAACTCAGTTGTGAGATAAACTCGAACTGAACGGTGACTCGATCACTGATCCAACAGGAGGATCGTCCAGAACCGATGAGAACTGCGGTAGACATCAGGAGACCCCACTCACTCCGCAGTAAAGCATGGCTTATGCGCACACTGTGTTAGCATAGGCCGCAAGAACAGCAAGTCATGAAGCATACCTGGTAGTTTCATCGCATGGTAATATTACGACTGCAAATTCTGTGCGGTGTCCAAGTGAGCTATCGCAAAACTAAAGGCAAAGGCGATGTTCACCGTTTTGGGGCATATCAGGTTTGGACACGCCGACCATACCCTTTCTGAAGGCCGCGCGTTTCACTTGTTTGAGGGCGAGAACGACACATTGACCAGCCCCAGCTGTTATGACATCAGACCTGTAAAGGTAAGTACCCATAAGGAATGTCATTCAATGCAAACCAGGAACTCAAATACCGTTGTTGCTGCATGCTCCTCACAAACAGTTGACTAAAAACTCCATTGGAGTCTGATCCAAGAGAACGAAGTCACATCCGTCTTGACACTTCCAGTGCTAAGAATGTCATTGACGAGTGTCCCCAACATATGGGACAGACCAGACTCATCAGGGATCGAATAAGTACTGTCGCAGCCAAAGGATATGTGACAGTTGCATGCTTACTTGTGTGTCAAGGGCTGATGCTCAAGTGGCTGATAGATCGTGAATGAGTTCGGTGTCCGCTTCACCAGATGTTTACTTTCATAGGCACAAATATGATAGTTTGAGCCAGTTGTTGTTCCCCATGCCGATGGTCACGTGGTATTCAGCGAATTTGGGGCGGTCAGTTAGCTACAGCAAGTATCCGACTCTTCCGTTAACTTACTCTAGTTTTAGTTCGGCGTTTTAGAAGCTCGTCAAGTCAGAAGTGCAAATATTCTTGCCATCTCATAGACCAGCAACTCCCTGCCAAGTGCAACAGATTTTCTTCGACTCTCCCATTGACATTTCGGGGGGGTTCCATTGCATGATCATTGATGAACTCAAACCCGTCCCTTCGTGATCTCTACAGCCCTCCCTCGTCCGCATGGGCATTCGTTCCTCCTCCACCTCCTATGCAGAACGCAAGCGCACCCGCACCCGCAGCTTCCGCAATGACAAGTTATCACTGGACTACTCGTCCTGCGCATAACTCAATTTTTGATTTGTCCCCTTCACTAGACCTCAGCGAACCTTCTAGTCTTAATGTGCCCCTGCTATTGCGCTCTCTA